AGTTTGTACTTTGTAATCGTAGTTTCAAACATACAATGTAAGTTCTTTACGTCGCGTCGGTATCATTCGAAAACTCGTCTGGCACGATGTCTTCCAAACTTTGAGTGGAGACCGCGAGTCACGTGGTAGCATCGTCACGTGACGAAAACATAATAATTAATCCCTCCACGACCGCGGACACACCGGCGTTGCAGTTAACAATAGATTTCTTAGAAATTTAATTAATTTCTTAGAAACATTATATCCATAAAACATTGTGTAGTATAAATATTTTGTTTGTTTGTTGTAGTCATTTATCTGATCAGAATTGTGTGTATGTTAATAAGTTGATTCAAATAAAACTTTTACCTGAATATAGTAATTCAAATTTACCTTTATCTTTTTAGTTCTTACGATTCAATTTGCATGCGCCCTTTTAGGTATCGCCAAATAACATTGGACAGCATAAATGGACAGAAAGTAGGGAATGGAGACTCGTAAATTGTACTCATATCCTTTTTCCTTATGTAGCAAGAGTAGTTATTTGACTACATGTAAGTTCCTCTATTTTATAAAATGCATTATAAAGTTTTGAAACCATATAAAATGCTAGGTTTTACCCTCGGCTTTGTCTGTGTATTTTAATTATGTATTACTATTACTTTTTAATTTATAGCTTATGTGTTACTCTGATGCTTATGCTATATTACTGCAAAGTTTCATCAAAATCCCTTCAGTAGTTTTTGCGTGAAAGAATAACAAACATACGTCTTCAAAAATACCGATCGCATACGTCAGCATTTTACCTTGAATTATATTGGTTCAACGCAATTTATACAAAATAAGCTTATCTTTAAAAGCAAATATTTAAGTACTTCACGATATTTAAAATTTTAACTAAAGCGATGACGATCGCGCATATTTTGCGATGCTCATGATTCATCCACAATCGGATAATATTGCAAGTCAACGTATTGCTTAAAGGTTTTTCATGTCACATGTCTAATGAAGTAATTCTAATCAAGATTAATGATCTCTTTTTACAAATATTTTTACAATATTTATTAAGAATTAACTTGAAAAATAAAACAAAAATGCTGAGCTAAACTGGGACGACTCGGTAGTCACAAATCAATCACATGAGCGGATCGTTACTATATATTATATTAATGCTAATAGGTTGATTCCCCATACAAACTTTTATCCCCATTTTCACCCTCTTAAGGGATGATTTCCGAAATAAAAAGTATCCTATGTCCTTCCCAAGGTCTCAAACTATCTTCTTACCAAATTTCATCTAAATCGGTTCTGTGGATCCGGAGATTACCCCGTACAACCTCACAAACTGACAAACTTTACCTCTTTATAATATTAGTATAAATTTTAGTTACTTATTTTGTAAGCATGTAAACATAACCTCATATTGTTTGCTGAATATATATTTCCCGCAAATTACTCATGTCATCCTAATATGGATTGAAATACCTATTTTGTAATAATTAGGGCCCCTCCACACTATAGTGCCGATCACAGTCTCTCACAGATCACAGTTCTCGGCCCGATGTCGGTCTGGTAAAGTATTGTTATACAAAAAACAATGAGTGCATTCACACTATCAGTAAGACTCACTTCCGGTCGAATCACGCTCCAGCAACGTTTCTTGTATAGAAATATTTTACCAGACCGATATCGGACCGAAAACGGACTGTGATTGGCACTATAGTGTAGAGCGGCGCTTATTGTCTCGCAACTTGCGTTTTGGAGGTTTTTTTTTATAAAAAAGAACTGAACATTTTAGTGCGTAATTCGTATGAGTTTAAAAGTAAACTTAGATCGTTATTTACAAATGAATGCGATTATTACGTAGGTATTTGTATTTTATTGATCGTGTTATTTATTTATTTATTTATTTATTTATTTATTTATTTATTAACACCAACAAGACATACACTAACAAAATCATAATAATATAATTACAATAAATAATAAATTCTAAGTGCTGCCTTAATTATAGGTGTTACACACATTTCATAAAAGATAGACACAAATACAAGTAGTGAATTAAAATAAATACAAAAATTATGGGAATATTATATAAATTAAGTTAAATATAAATTGAATCAGAAATTAATATTATTTGATAATTTAAAATATGCATCATTTCAAAATTATAAAAATTAAGTTGTATATAAATTGAATCAGAAATTAATATTATATGATAATTTAAAACATGCATCATTTTATAATTATACAATCGTTAAACATGAAAAATAATCTCATTAATTTATTGTTCAATGTTGACACTGATTAAAACTTAGCACATTTATTTAAATTTTCTTAATAAAAAATATACCTTTTGACTATAAATTACAATTATTCGATGAGAATAAATAAAATAAATTACGTTTAAATATCGAGAGATTATCTGAAAAAATATCAATATCAACTTTTCTATCCTTTTGTTTATCATCAGTAGTCGTTATGGCACCAATACAATTCTTATGTGTTAATTTATACACAGCATTATAACTCAACATCAATCTATTAATCGGAGAACAGCGTCCTTGACGTGAGCGTGTGTTTTTTTTCTACGAATGGTATAAAAGACGACGGCCTTTTAGTTTTTAATGGGGCACGAATATTTATTTGAGCTAGTAAGTAGGAACTATCAATGACGCCATTCACCAACTTATGCAAGAAAGTAAGGTCAAGGAGCTGCCTTCGATTCGAGAGTGACTGAAGCTTAAAATAATTTAACTTATCCTCGTAACTCCTTAGAGTTTTAACTAGATTATGCTCGTAAGATAAATGCAAAAGAAATCTCTTTTGTATCCTTTCGATTCTTTGTGAGTAAATATTAAAGTGTGGATTCCATACAACGCTGCAGTATTCCAAAATACTTCGTACCAAAGCTGAGTAGATAATTATTTTAGTGCGTGCATCCTTGAATTGCTTACAGTTACGGAAGAGGAAGCCAAGAGTCCTAAAACCCTTGCTAACAATATTATATTAAGTCCAATAATACAAAACAATAATATTTTGGTGGTTGATATATTTTTTTTTAATAATATTATTTTGAAATAGCAAAATTCATAACGTACCTATATCTGATACTGCACATCTCGAATTATATCGCATAATACCTAGTCACGTTAGTGGAGGAAGGCGGAGAGTGCAATGACAAGGTCTAAAATTTCTGATTTGTGCATTACTCATAGGTATATATTACCATTTACGTCATCCTCAAACTACATACGTATGTCTCGAAAAAGTCTTGTCACCTAATGTCATTCAGGGATTATGTAGCTTGGTATTAGTGAAGAAAATTTAGAATCGCGTTAGTAGTCTCCCACGAAGAATTATAATTTACTAGCATTGTCCGCGGCTCCGCCCGCGTTCAGGTGACCAAAAACCAAATTCTTAGGTTTTACACATTAGTATACACTTACATTGCAGTTTTTGTATTGTTTCTCAAAAATGAGATATTTTACTGCGGTAAAAAGTATCCTAAATGTTGACCCGGATAACCAGCTATCACGATACTAAGTTCCATCAAAATCTCTCCAGTGGTTTTTCTGTGATGCGGTAACAGACAGACAAAAAATCTGAAAACTATAGATTGGGCCTCTGTATCGATAATAATGTCTATTTCATTAAGATTTTCCAAATAATACTTAATGTGCAGATTTGACTTAGTTACAATTTTATTATAAGTATGTATAAATTAATTACCTAGATATAATTTTAAGAAAAAAATAATTTATATTTTTTGAATTTTGATTCTAGATATTTTATTTAACAACTAAAGGTTACTGGCCTGCCCGGATAATATGAGCGGACTGATAACGAATTATAATACATTTTTTTATTGCAGCGGGTTCAGTTATTTATATCCATGATCTCAGCGCAATATAAAAAAGAGTGACGTTATTGTATATATTCAACTGCGGCAAGTTGAAAATAAAAAGTGAATAGTGACAAAGTCATTCTTTTGCATTTTTAGAAGTAGTTATATATGCAATAAATTTTTATGTATGTTTTTATTTATTACATATACATATGTATTGTAATATTAAAAAGTCACAAGTACCAGTGATTTGTTACTAAACGATATTTGAAACTGCTAATAATTATTACCAAGTTATTCTAATCGAAATTAAAGATAATGTAAGCTTTTTTGTTACATATAACAAGGAAGCTTCGATAAAGAAGCTTATCCTCTAATAAATATATATCAGATGGTGTTCCTTGTAAAATTGGACAAGTACAGTTAAAACCGTGTACATGTTGTTAAACGAACCTTAAATACAAGTCTAACTCACAAGTCGTATAACAAAGACATACTGCTCGAATGCACGCAAATGACTGTGTTAACGTACAACATTGCCGACGATAATATTGTTACACGAATTGCCGATCCTGAAGATTTACAACGTACAGTACACATAAAATAGAAATAGAGCCCATTCAAATGATATTATCACATTACGTATGATTCATAAATTATTATTTATGAAATGCACTAGCACTGTTATGGTAAATATGTCACATATGATAATTGATAACTAACTTTGATTTTAAATGTTATAATTATAATAGACTGTGTCAACGGAATGTTTTCAGTCTTTTGATGTTGTTAAAACAAAATTTTATTTTTCCTAATGATATAAAAGTTTATGTTAAATATTTTTATAGGAACCGCAATTCTTTCATAATGTGTTTTCAACTTCAAATAAATGAGGCGTCTGTCATCGAATCCAGGACACGCGAACTTCGGAACTAAACAGATTTACAGCTGACTGAGATCATAAAATGAATGTAAAACCCTCTCCATACCGGCCGCAATGCGGAATCGCATAAATAAAGCATTTAGCGTCGCATTTAGCAACCGCTCGCGAAACGTTCCAGGCACAACAGTTAAGCTGTTTAACTGCCCACTAATAATGTAACATAGATATAAACAACCTGTTGAGACACTACCGCCATTTACAACAATCTTGGCGTTTTATTCAAGATAATTATCGTATTTGATTTTCTCCTATCTGTCCACTAAATGGATTGTAAACACCGCATAAAACAGTCACTGCGCAGGTTAAACATGCTGAATAATATCTTTGTTGATACTCAATATGTGTATATGTACGTATATTACGGCCTAACTGCCTCGGTGGTGCAGTAGCTAGCAAGTACGCCTCATCCGGAGGTCCTAGGTTCGAGTCACGGGTCGGGCCAAGATTAGTCTTTATGTTTAGTAAGCCTAAGTAACAGCCCGGAGTTAGAATATTGGTGGTGTTACACCACCGTCCCTTGGAGAGCACGTAAAGCGGTCGGTCTTGCGTCTTAACTCTCACTGGTCGTGTCCCATCGGAGTATGAGAGTGACAGGCATAGAGAGTGCAATGCGAACTTGTGCATTATAATATCTCCTGAGCAGATGGATTGTCTCAATGACATTTTATTATCAGATTTTAACTCAACCCAGCTTATAGAAAATATTAGTTCGTCATGAATACAAAGTGTCTATATCAATGTTTTAATTGTTCACATTGTAAGCCAAATTTGTTTGTAAACATTTTAATTTGCTAACAACGCAGTAAACAAGAAACTTTATTGTTTCCTTTGCAATACATTTGTTTAATTTTTATAGAGTATCCATTTCATAATATCGTAATTTATTCTAAGCGCATGCAGCCACTGATTCATCGGCGGATGTAGATAGCGTTGTGGGAAAACTGAGATAAATAATATTGGCGGAAATTATCCATAATGTTATCGGTGGTTTGTATAGCGGCAGCACTGTTCCAGAAAGTTTACTACTCAGAAGCTTACCCGCATTATGATTAAGCTTAGTTGTATTAAAAGTATAAAATACATAAATATGTATATTTATGTATGGATGTAAATCTCACGGCAAGGATTAACCATGTACGAGTATGTATGTCTCCGACTGCATAATACTATATTAGTTAACTTTTATACAGTTGGTTTTTTATTTTTATAATACATTTTTACTTGTTTAAGATCATAAAAAATATAGTACTTAACACTATAAGCTAGCTGTCTTTCTTTAAATCATCTTTACTTAATTTGATATATGAATTAAAAATATAAGTAAAAAGCAAACATAAATTTACCTATACCTACTCTCTAATGTCTTTTCGTTCATTGTCGGTGTTAGGTTAATATTAACTCGACCAAAGAACAGCGTTCAGTGACACGCCATCAATCATCCCCTCGGCACCCGGAAACGACAAGAAAGATCGATGTACGGCCTTTCCTTCGGGCGACCTTGTAAAGCTACGAGGGGTGGTTATAATTCCATTATATTGTGTAGAATTTTCTTCATCCCTTGTACAAAAACCAATAGATACTTGTACAGGTGAAAGAAAGTGGGTCCTTTTAATGTATTGCTGTAACATTGGTCATAATATATGTATAGTTACTTAATAATACTCCAAGTACTAAGTTTAACCATGATTTGTAAACAATATCCGCGATATTTAATGACAGCCAATATCGTTAATCAATACTGAGTTAGATCACGTCAAAATGATACAAGGACCACGTTATTGCCGAGCACCTGTGAGGGTGTCAGTGGGCGGAAAATCAGAAACACTAAATAACGTTCCACTGCTAAAGCTGCCACTAAATGTCAAAATCGTGCAAAACAACTTGTTAGTTCAATTGTACAAGCGATGGTGAGCAAAGTAGAACAGTTAGACAACTTTACCAACACGTTGTTGACCCTGACCACTTTGTGCAGATCTCCACAGATCAGTGAAAATGTTGTAATGCCCGGAATTACATCACGAGTAACTATTATCACTATCGCTGTTGAGCTATTCTATGATTATCTGTTTTATCAATATCTTTACAGAATTTCAAATTCTTAGTCCGGCATCCATTATTGTCGCACCGATTTGTTTTAATACCGTAAATGGCATGAAATTGTCTAGATATCACAATAATTGTTCAACGGCTGCCAATGTGATCCAGTCTTTATTTAATGCAGATTATAGTGCTGGGTATTATTCTTCATAGTGTTTGAGCTTAATTTAAATTTGGCACCAAATTTATGTTTTCTTAGGCGTAACGAATTTCAACCTTGACAATCCTATTAACTCTTTCTGTGACCGCGCCACTTAAACTAAACAAACCGAGTAAAGGCTTTGGGGAGTCTTCAAACCAATCCTTCGAGCTCTATATTATCAATTATATATATACGCTTTAATTATAATGATAAAATTTGTTATGTTTGTATTTACTCATACATGTTCATCAAACCTAACGCACCCCTACCCTCGCTTTGAGGTCATTGACCGTCCTTCACTCGACGGGGTGTATATTTACTGATGACATTAGTGACAGCACGCGTTCGATTTGACTCACATTTGTTTGGTTTTCAGTATCTACTAGGTTCTAGCGTTTTATTGATTGTTTTTTAATTCATAAAATCTCTTTTTTATAGTAAAAATTTTCCAAACAGAATATTTTCAATATAATGTATTTACCTAATAACTAAACAAAAGTGTATTTTTGACATCAAACAGCATCAAAGTCATAATGTTAAATGTGCAGATATAAAAAGTTCGTGTTATTCACGGTCGTTCAAAAACAGCTCCGTCGATTCATCAACATAATTTGGTACGCCGTGTGTGGTATTCCACACTGCATGTTATCAATTACTAACGTGTTTGCTTAAGCTTATTTTGATATATCAAAGGTTAAAAAAAGAATTAAATTAATCCAGGTTTTCAAAAACACATATTTTTAATAGAAAATTACAAAACGCATCAGGTTATTTTATAAATTTAGGTACCTACGTTTTACTGTTAGTATGTAATAGATAGACTATTTTTATTATATTTTGGTATATAGCATATAGCCTTACTCAATAAACGAGCTATCTAATGCAAAAAGATTTTTTCACATTAGGATTAGTAGTTCCTGAGATTAGCGCATTCAAACAAACAAACTCTGCCTCTTTATAATATAGTTAAGAATAGATTAAAAAAACACTTCAGTACATTTTTTTACTCTTTTGTCGACAGATTTTCTTTTCTTTTCTGTTTAGTAGCTATTGACAAGCTTGAGTGTTGTCAATAAAAAAAATTGAAAAACTTATACATTTTCCTAAAATTTTCAATAATAATTATGGTCGACATATTAATACTATTTTAGATTTCTGTAAGAACTATATAATGACCTTTGAGACGTCCAAAATCTTAGTCTCTCCCGTGACCATAATTGCTGTAAACCATTTGAAACGTTGGGAACCAAAAATCAAACAAAAAAAAAACAGAAAAGATTTTTTTGCGAACGAAACCTTTGGCGAACATTTTTTTTAATTAATTGCAATAGCATTTGTAGTTAATAAATATAATCAACACAAATAGTAACATCGTAGTTTCTGATGTAGAAATGTCCTTATATAACATTTTAAATGAAATTGTATAATCTATAAATCTTTCCGTAAGACCGATTCGACCGTTTCCGAGTGGAAACTTACATTTAATATCGCCGTCGCAATCAACATTCTAATTTCACGCTACAAAATAATTTATTTCATCCAGATTGTGCCAAGGATGCTGCTTATGTGGATGCAAATTGATTATTCTTATTCTCTTTTTAAATATAACTGTATCAATTTTGTAGGCAGTGGTAGCCGAGTGATAACGCGCTCGCTTGGGGAACTGAGTGAAGCGGGTTCAAATCCCGGTCTCGCACCTCTGATGTTTACTTGTTCGAATCATTTCTAACATGATTACCACTTGCCTTACTTTACGGTGAAGGAAAACATCATGCGGGAGCATGCCTGAGAAAATCTAGTAAGTTTTCGAATGACATGTGAGGTCCGCCAACCCACATTTGGTCAGCGTGGTGGACTATGGCCTGATCCCCCTCGTAATGAAGGGAGGCCCGTGCCCAGTAGTGGGACGTTAAAAAGGGCTGAGTACATCAATTTTGTTACTTTAAGCTTTAGAGTATAGGTTATTGTTGTTTTGTCACCGTGTAAATTTTCTATGAATAGGTAGTGACGCTAAAACAGTGTAATAAAATTTACTCAATTAAACGTGCCACTTGTTTTGGTTTATTTATAATCAGCATTTAGGCCATGATTTAATTTTATAAAGAGTTTAGTAGGTTGTCTTTAAAACATTGGCACTAAATAAAACAGGTTTAAACGTTTAAAAATATTTAAAAATATTGTAACAAAAGTGGCGTCCTTTGTTTTTTTTTAACTTAGTTATTTTGCTTATATAATCACTACAATTTTAAAAATCTACATAATTTGTAGTAGATTTTGTATAAAAACGATTCATTTTAGTGAATATTCATATATATTTATTAAAAAAAACATTGCTCTGTTAACTTCAAATTTTATTTAAATTTTGGAATAGTATAAAAAAGATAGATATATCTGACTTTTAAGTTTTAGATGACTTGTATAAAGTAAATATTATAAGATCTATTGTCATAGATTCTAGATCTAGATCTGGGTTTTTTTTTCAGAAAAGAGGGTACCGCATATGTATAAACAATGTATATAATGATATGGTATGGTGGTAACAATGTATATAATGATATGGAATGGTGTGATATATACATATCTATACTAATATTATAAAGAGGTAAAGTTTGTGAGTTTGTGACCTTGGGGGGTAATCTCTGGATATACTGAACCGGTCAAAATGGGGATGAAAGTTTGTAACTAGGGAAGCGAGGGTGAGTCACTAGTGTATGTATATATTACAGTTATAATTTTCCAAGCAACAGAAAGCTTGACAAAATAAGCTTCTTGTAAAAATCTTAGAGCATCGTAGATATTTAACGTCCCCTTCAAACTTACTTATACATAGATACATACATATGTACATGTAGATACATACATATGTAACTATGAAATATTTGAAATGTCATATCGTCTCGTACTGTAATTAGAATATTAATACTTTACAAGGGTGGTAAAGGTCATATTTGATTAGTTTATTGTACCGCCTGGAATCTGCGGTCAAGGTGAGCTTGGCGCCACCAGCTTGATCAAAAATAGCATATCTGGGAAACTGTGGAAAAATTAATCGAGCAAATCTGTACCTGTCCGGATGTTGCCCCAATCAGAGTTAATGAATGACTTGTTTATTATTATCTTTGATAAACATATTTCATGTATTTAATTAAAATCCAATAATACGAGCTTTTTATACCGGTTTAGTATTTATTGATTAGTTTTAGGCTTTAGCTCTTCGAAATAAAAATTGAAAGTAAAATATTTAGTATACGTTTTTTTTTAATTAAATTAATGAAAGTAACGTAAAATGTTTATAACTTTTAGTAGAAATTACATTAATATTTTAATGAGTGTTTAATTTTTGAATGTTTATAGCCTTAATTAAGCACTGTGATATTTAATATTTTAGCAATTTAGCAGGTAATCGTTTTTTTAATTACATTTT